CATACCCAGATTCTTTTCCTCTGCACATTTTTGACATGACTAGGAAAGGAGAAGGGGCCTGTGCTGCATTCTGGGGCCAGATCAAGGCTGGATCTACACCGATATGAAAACGCTATCAAAACACTATATAGCTCCCAATGCAATTTACCGTTGACGATAGATTGCTGCTCTATAGCGCTATCTGGTGTCACATTTTTATAACACATTTTGAACGTTATAATTGACAGGCGTAGCTGAGTCTCTACTGATGTCAGGGCCTGGGCAGAGGAGGAATGGTGGAGACCACCTCCCTAGCTTGACCCTTCCAGAGAAGAAGACAGTTCAGAATTACAGCAGGGGTTTGAGGGAGGTCACAGATGAGGGGTAAAGCTGGGAAATAATGTGAGAGGAGGAGGAGGAGGAGGAAGCACCAGGAGGGTGACAGCTGGCAGACACAGTGTCTTTAGAAAGTACTCCAGACCCTCCTATCCCAGAACTCGGTGATCCTTGAAAGTAGGAGAGAAAAGAGCTCAAAGGAAGAGGGCACATTTCAGCACCCATGGCGATGACTCAAGAGGAAGTGGGAGAGATGGAGGGGGTGGAGATTCACTCGGGACAATGCCATTATTCTGAGAGGCTGCATTCCCAAGCTTCTCTCTGTAAATATTGAATAAAAAGGAGATGCTAAGGACTTTTCCTTGCCTTGTCCATTCCTGGCAACCTGCTGTGGGGGTTGGTTCCTCTGCTGCCCGACAACTATCCTCAATGGCTGTGTTGTATCTCCACTGTCAGAGGAAGTAATGCTTCTCAAGACCAGTTGCTGGAAACCACAAGAGGGGAGATCGCTCTTGTGCTCAGTTCCTGCTTGCGGGCTTTTCATAGGCATCTCATTGGCCCCTGTGAGGACACGATGCTGGACTAGATGGGCCACTTCTCTGGTCCAGCAGGGCCCTTCTTTATGTTCCTATCGGATTTCTCTTCCCCCTTATTACCGTTTTCTGTTTTCTCTCTGCTGTGACTCCCTTTGCAGCGATCAATGGAGCCATGGTGGCTGGTGCCGTCATAGGAGCCCTCATTGGACTTGGCCTGATCATTTTGTTTCCACTCCAGATGCTCTTCTACAGAAGGAAAATGAAAGAATCACAGGAGGAGATTGCCAATGAGATCAAGTGAGTGAAAAGGAGGTTCTTAAATTGCCCCACAAGGCAGGCAAGTTGGGACCAGACATGACTAAAGAGGCTAAAATCTGTTTGGAAATACTTCTTTTAAACGCAACAGCAGAAGACTGGTGAACAGATTGCTGTCTATGAAAGAAACAAGTGCAATAATATCAAACAGAAATGGACAACGCATTATACCTGAATGAATCTCAGGGAATGGAGGAAATTGTCCCTTATTTCTCCCTTCCCTGAGATTCATTCGGGTACAATGCATTGTTGATTTCCATTTGATATTCTTACATTCATATCCACAATAGCTGTTCCATAGTCTAGGCCACCATACCTCTAGAGTTAAGCTAGTAGTTGTTTTCCAGTACTGTGTTAACATATTTTCACCTGCAGACATAAAAAAGATTGGTAGCTCCTAAACAGTAAATTATTGTGGTCATCTATAAACAGATTTGGGACGCGGGTGATGCTGTGGGATAAAACCACAGAGCCTAGGGCTTGCTGATCAGAAGGTCGGCAGTTCGAATCCCCGCTACGGGGTGAGCTCCCATTGCTCGGTCCCAGCTCCTGCTAACCTAGCAGTTTGAAAGCACATCAAAGTGCAAGTAGATCAATAGGTCTCTGGCGGGAAGGTAAACGGCATTTCGATGCGTTGCTCTGGTTCGCCAGAAGCGGCTTAGTCATGCTGGCCACATGACCCGGAAGCTGTACACTGGCTCCCTCGGCCAATAAAGCAAGATGAGCGCCGCAACCCCAGAGTCGTCCGCAACTGGACCTAATGGTCAGGGGTCCCTTTACCTTTACCTATAAACAGATTTAATAAAAGCTAGCCCTAGGATCAGGTTGCACCACCTGTTTCATAACAGAAACAGGAAACCAAAATGGACAGGTTCTTCCTCTTACTTCTTTCCCCTCACTAGTTCGTTTTTTTCTCTCCCCTTCCTCACCTTCTCAGGGAAGATGCTGTTGCCCCAAAGACTCTTTCCTGGGCGAAAAGTCCTGGCTCTGATATCGTCTCCAAAAACGGCACCTTGTCCTCCATGAACACGACCCGGGATCACAAACTCTACCCGTCCAAGCCGCCCTCAGACACGGCCTCCATCACCACAGCCACTGGGAGCACAGTGGGCTACAAACCCCCTTTCAGCAACCACCGCGGCGGGACCCACACGCCGACGCCCAGCCTCTCCAGCCAGTCCTTGCCCCTCTACTTCCCGCCGATGGCAAACGGGGTCCATTGCCACCATGCCAATGTGCCAATCCATAGGAACACCCTCCACAGGACAAACGGGGCTCAGCCACAGGCCCCCCGACTACACGAGCCTGCCGCCCCCACCCAAGGGCTCACCTCCTCCACCCTGAGCCGCATGGGGGGCGTACCCGTCATGGTGCCTGCTCAGAGCCAAGCAGGATCCTTGGTGTAAGGGCTTGGCGGCGCCCCCTAGTGGTTCTAGCAATCCCATGCAATGCAGAGTGGCTGGAAGCACTGGCTCTGGGATGCCTGCCTGCCTTCAGAGCTCCTGGGCGAGGTTTTGCGGGTGTGTCCTTCGAAGGAGCAGTTTTCAAGGAACCGCCATCAATGAGACTTTGCAAAGACTTGTGAGATGGGCTTTTTGTAACACCTTTCAGAACTCTTCCTCTTGGTGCCCGAGTCGTGTCCAAGAGGCCTCTTAACAGCAGAGGCTGTATCTACTCGAACAAATACCAGTGGATCTTTGCTTTGCAGGATGTGATTCATTCCTTTCTCTCTCTCTCTTATTGGAGGAAGCAGCTGTGCTGGGATCGGCTATCTTGACTTGGGGAAAAACATGCCAGGGCAGATCTGAAACCTGCAGCCAGAGTGAGGTGCTTCCTTGACCTGCCTTTCCTGGGAGTAGCCCAAAAGGATTGGAGGGCATTGGGTGCTCTGGAGGAGATGGCAAAGAAATATTGCAGTCAGCGGCGTAGCGTGGGTTGTGAGCACCCAGGGCAAGGCAAGTAATTTGCGCCCCCTAACCCGTGGATTTGCGCCCCCTAACCCGTGGATTTGCCCTAACCCCAGATGTTGCGCCCGGTGCGGCTGGCCCCCCCTGCACCCCCCACGCTACGCCACTGATTGCAGTTTAGGTTAAAGGGAAGAGGGGTGTGTGTGTTCTCTGAACTTGAGTTAGCACAGGAAAGCTGCAGAACGACACCTCTCCTTTTTTCAAGTTTCTAGACCATGGGAGATTCTTCAGAGTCAGAGAAGGGCTCTGTAGGATATCCAGTGTCTGGTGCACCTTTAGATCATTGGCCACTTTCCATAACTTGACTGAAGCAGAATGAGTTATGCAAGCAAAGGAAATGTATGCACATTAGTTTGGTTTGCAGAGTGTTCGCAGCTTGTCTCTTGCTGCAGAATTTGTATTATCTCGGCACAGAGCACACCCAGCCCTGAACAAAGAGCTTCGGTAGTCCAGTCTCTGTTCTGAAATTGCTTTTATTATTATTATCTGGAATGGGGGAATGAAATGGGTGTCCTTCATAGTATTCCAACCTGGTTGGCTAGTGTAGTGCCACTCAAAAATAGCAAGAGCCCTTTGGCCACCTGCAGTTCGCAGTTACTCAGATATGAAATGTTGATGTGCAAAACTGGATCACTTTCTGTTTGCTATCAAGAGTCCCTGGGGAGGGGAGACCAGGCAGGTTAGGCAGAGAGTCTGTGATTTGCTTTGTCACTGAGCAGGAATCCCCCTGCCACAAAAGTGGCCAGCAAAGGGAGGGAGGGTTTCCCTTGGCTTTCTGTTCGTTGCCATTTAGGTGACCAAACTATTTACTGCTATTTTTAAATAAGGAAAGAAATTGCAAGTTTTACAACTGCAAATAGTTTTTATTTATTTTTTAAAGCTATTCAAATTGATTTGCAAATGCTGGGAAGAGTGGGAGTGTCTGTAGTGCAGACATTGGACCTACCCTGCAATTTCTCTTTGTTTTCTCTGAGTAACCCCTGAATAGACTTTCCCTTCTAAACAGCTTCCTTGTGTCACTGAAGCCTCTCCCGTCTCCTAAAAAAAACTCCCACAATAACTTGAAAGCCCAGTTTTGGATGAATCCTCGCAGTTTTGGCTTTAGGAACAGGGAATATTTGGCTGGTTTCTTCTGCCCCCTTGTGATGCACAGAGGAACTGTAACTCGGTCAACAATTCCGCCTTGGGGATTTTCAATAATAAGATGTTTCTTCTTCCTGCCCTTCCCAAAAGCTTCTGCAACTAACCTGTATGTAACCTTATATCAGAATATCCTAACAATGGATTCTCTAAGGGCGCCTTCAGTATTTTAATACATATTGTGCAATTATGTTTATTCAATGGACTTTTGATCTTCTGTTTCTTCCTTTTTTTATAAAAGTAGATCTAGCACATAATTTATACTTATAGGATATCAACAGGTCTGTGAATTCCTGGCTAAAGTTCCTCTAACCATTTTCATGCTGGGCTAATTTTTTTAAATAGCAATGAGAACCCTTCTGTTTACATGAGAAGCTAGGATGGCGACTGAAATATTTTGTATGTACAGTTTGAAAAACATATTATTTTTCATAAATAAAAGTATTTGTTTTTATATTTTAAAAAAAAAACTTTGGGGAAAGTGTTTGTTTCTGTGGCCTGTTTGTGTATGAAACGCAGTTCCACCTTGAAGCAGATTGCTTTATTCATTATTCTTACTGTATGTATTTATTTTAAATATTCAGGTAAATGACCTTGCAAGGTGTCTGACATAAAACTGCAACCATATGATTTCCATAAGAAACCATACTTTAAGAGGCATGGAAAATAATTCTGAACCCAGCTGAGCAAACTGCAAAACTAACTAAACTATCAATGAATAGCTTAAAGATCCTAGAATGGTAGGTAAAACAGAAAAACTGGCAGGTATTAAAACAGCAGGAATAAAAAAGATGGATTTGGGAAGGCTTAGGTGAAAAGAAAGGTTTTCAACAAATATCGACAATCTAACATTGTTGGCACAATGTTGCTAAAAGTGTATGTGACCAGGTTGGGATTTAGCTGGAGAGAGAGCTTCTCAAATGCCCTGGTCTGGAACTGCACAGGGTTTTATATACCTGTAGCAAAACTTTGAATCTAGCACAGTAGCAAACTGGCAGCTGTGACACTGGTGGGACTGTGGTCTAAACCCCTGAGCCTCTTGCGCTTGCCGATCAGAAGGTCGGCAGTTCAAATCCCGACAATGGGGCGAGCTCCTGTTGCTCTGTCCCAGCTTCTGCCAACCTAGCAGTTCAAAAGCATACCAGTGCAAGTAGATAAATAGATACCATTGCGGTGGGAAGGTAAACAGCATTCCCGTGCGCTCTGGTTTCCGTCACAGTGTCCCATTGCACCAGAAGTGGTTTAGTCCTGCTGGCCACATGACCAGGAAAGCTGTCTACAGACAAACGCCGGCTCCCTTAGCCTGAAAGTGAGATGAGCACCGCAACCCCATAATCGCCTTTGACTGGACTTAACCGTCCAGGGCTCATTACTTTTTTTTACCTTTTACAACACTTTTAACAGGGGTGTCATAAGTTGTCCATAGGTTGCCCCAGAGAACAGCCACACAGGAGAGTTTTATTCCAGCTGCAGATTCCTAACCAAAGGAAGCCCCAGCACATTGCAGTTATTGGGTCCAGAAGCTACTAGGGCTTAGATCACAATTGTGACTGGCATACCAGCCAAAGCTGACAGCAGGTACTTCTGGACACACATAAGACCTTCAGTCTCCAGAGGCAATGCTGAATCAAGGAGCAACCCCAAAGCTGCCCCCCTGTTCTTTCAGAGTGAGCGCAACCCCATATAGAACAAGCAAATGGACAGTTTCCCTGACCTGGGCACACTCGAATCCAGAGCCTCTATCTCACTGGGATTCAGGTTTTTGGCTGTCATCCAGCTCATTACCTGAGTCCAGTCGCAGGTTCAGGACTTTCACAATGCCACCTGATCCAGATGTCACAGATTCGAACTCATAACCTTAGGTATGACGCCAAAATGTGTCAAGTCAAGTTTCATGTTGCACCCATGTCCACTGTAATAAATGAAAATGTGCCTTTATTCCCTTATGGGGGACACAAGAGCCCTTACAGAGTCCTTTGCAGGTTCTCCATCAGTCGGAGAAAATAACAGAGGCCAAACAGAGAATATTGAGAAGCAAAGCAGCTAGTAAGCCTGATCTTTATTGAACTGTTGCAACAGGGTTTTCCTCACACGCAGGAAAGGAGGAGGACCCAGAACCAAGGTGTGCCTGCCCTTATATAGACATTTTAAATTGCCCGCCCTGGAGTTCAAGACCACCCTCAGAAACATCATACATACATCACAGAAAGGGTGTGGCTCAAGACCACCCCCTAGACACATCATACCTACATCACAGAAAGGGCGGTCTACAACAGAAATCTGAGTGCATTGTTTATCTCCTGTCTGACAGGTTACCTGTTAATGTTTACTTGATTGGATACCCTGGGAAGCCTGGCCAGTCTTTTATAGTGACAAATACTTAGTTCCTGGGCCAGGTCACAGGCTCACACTATTCATACACACTATTCATACACAGATATACCCTTAAGACAGGTTTTCCATTTTCCTTTGACCTTGCAGAGAAAACATTTGGTCAGTTTGGGAGCCCAAATGGCTCCAGGACTGTCCTCCTGTGTTGCCTCAAACATGTGGCCCATACATTTATGTACGTGTTTGCCTGGCAAATCCATGAACATTTATCTTATATTCATATATATATATATATATATATATATATATATATATATATATATGACCTTAACTTTTTATTTCACCACAAACAGCCAATCCTGCAACAGCTAAATGTCCGGGTAGCATATTTTGTGCTCTGTGGAGAAATTTGGTCAGATGTGCTAGGAAGTGGTTCCCAACCTTTTTTTGGCCATGCCCCACCTAAGCATCTCAAAAATCCTAAAATCCTGACACACACACACCCCGGTGACATATAATCCTTATTATTCAAAAAGTGAACTCCTATTGACATGGAGGAAGCCTAAAAGGCCATTAACTTGGTCTAAACATTATCAAATTGCCCCCCTTAAAAATTAAATTGCCCCCCTGTGGGGGTGGGCCCCATGTTAGGAATCACGGCGAAAGGTGTCCTCAACCCTGTTCTCAGCTTATCTGGAGAATAGTGTTTGTGCTGGGAAGGTGCCTCCCGATTCTTTTGACAGCTCTGTTAATAATTAATCTCCCAGTCTGATCTGTATTTCCTTTGCAGAGTCAATAAACGGAACTTTCTGTTGCTTCCAATTAAAAAAAACCCAGATGTATCACTGAAGCCTACATTTATGCGTAGGAGTCGAACAGCCATCTAGTTAAGTTCAGGAGCATGCAAATGGATGATTCAGTTTAATAACTTCACTGCAAGGGTGGGGACTTAATATTGTAAGCAGGTCATTCAAACATTGAAATCAGGTGCTGCCAAGAGGCTTTCTGGGGGGTCCCCCTCAACAATGGATTTTTCTGGGAAGTGAAACTCCAGATTAAACAGGAGGAAAATATTAGGGATGCACACTGGATCTAGTTTGCCAGCTGCACTGGTTTGAGAGACAACCCTGGATCTGATCAGTCTAGCCAGAGTGGTCCAGTGTGGTTGAAAAGTGGGGGCGGTCAGCTTCTGCAAGGTTTAAAGAGCAGCACAGGGGTGTTTGCAAAAGGGCTTTTAAACAGCCCACGACACACTTGCACACAAAGGAACATCTGCATGTTGCCAAACTGGACAGGGGAAGCAGAACTGAGTTGCTGGTGGCAGCCTCCTGAATCCACTCATTCAGATTGGCCATTGATCTGTGGAGCAGAAGATGACTTCCTCGTTCAAGCAACAACTTCTTCCTGAGCTCTGGTACGTTCCTGTATCCTTGCTGTCCTTTAGTCCTGACAGCTGTCTTGCTCCTGCTTCCTGACTACTGGTTTGTCCCATACCTCCTGACTCATGTCTAGCTCCCAGCCATGGTCCAGCCCTGACATCTAGATACCACAAGGCTGACAAGGACAAGGCCA